TCATATACACTTCAAACTCAAAATTCCAGAACAGAAGTCATAATTTTGCCCTATCTGTGGTAGATTAATCACAAACATAGCCCTGGGGCTTCACCTTCTTTATATCCACCTCCTCCTTTGCCACATCGCTTTGTAGTGCCCTCCTACTCTGACTCTTGGATAGGTCATGTGACTTTATTTGGCCAGTAGGAAATTAGCTAATGTGACACAAGCGAAGTTTTGAAAACTGCTTGCACCATTGGGTCTTCTGCTATTTCCATGGGAAGGACATGCTCACGCTAGCCTGCAGGAGGATGACACTCATTGCCTTGACATCCCAGCCTTTCCCAGATCAGCCAGTGGACTCCCATCCATGTGAAAAACCCAGCCAAGTTCTACATGGTGACCCCTTCAGGTGACCAAAATATATGAATGATCCCTGTTCAGATTAGCCAAGCCTAGCCCAAATTAGCTGAACCCTATAAACGCTCAGAAGCCCAGGTGGAGCAGTGGATAAGCATTCAGCTGATAACTAAAACGTCAGCAGTTTCAACTTCCAGGCAACATGGTGCTATAGACAGAAGCACCACGCCATCCCTCCACAGCAAAGATCCAAAAAACTAGGTCAAACAGAGACAAAAGGCAATCCTGAAACCCTAAGCATCAAATGAAGAGCTAAAGAACTCAGACAAACACTGAATGAAATAAGAAACTGACAGAGAACAGAGACCGAGGAGAGATACATGCAGAGGTCCCCTATCAGCTACTGCAGCATCGGTCTGCCATCTTGGGCTCCTATAAGAGATTGGCAAACAAGGGGTATGAGAAAGCAGCTTCACAGAGCTTCCAGCAGGAGACAGAACAACCGGTAACTAGCGATATTCACTTTCCCACCCCCCACCTTTCTTCACCCCCACTCGGCCTCCTCTGCTTCCTGCGACCACAGTCTCTTGGCCAGGAAGCACCAGCTTCACGTCAGTGCCAGTTGGATTCCACCTGCGCTCACTGGCCGGCTCCATGAGTGCCATTTCTAAGCTGCTGGTGTTGCTTTTTTCCCCTTCTTTTGATTTCTTCCTTATGTCTCAACACCTCACCCTCCAATCTCTCAAACGCCTGGCTTCATGTGGCATCTTTGTTTCTTCCTGAAAAGCTATGAAACACCGCTCAGCTATGAAACTGCTTCCTGGGCTGTGCTGCCATGCTGGTGGGATCCCCGGGGCTTTTTGGTTTGTTTTTTTGTCTGTCTGTTCTGGTTTTCTCTGTTTTGATTTGCTTGTTTTCTTTTTCTTTTCTTCGCCTAGGAGCCCCTTCAAGCTGGGCAGCACTGCGCAGCGTGGGAGCTGCTCCCTTACTCTGCGCAGATGCACAGTGAAATCCCTGGGGACTTTTCATTTTTCTTCTTTTATTTGGTTTTTATTTTGTTTCTTTGTTTTGTTTTCTTCTCTCTCTTTTTCCTTTTTGGTTTTCTTCATTTCTCAGTTTCTCTTCTCTCTATACTTCCTTCTTTTCCTATCTCCTGAATAAGTGGTGCTATGTGACACCTTTACCCCTTCTAGCCAAGCTGTATTTTATGGCCTGGGAGAAACTTCCACAGTCCTTGCAGCAACACCAGTGGGATACCTGCGGGCATTTCTTTTTTCTTTCCTAATTTTTATTTATTCTTTTTTTATCTTTTTTCTTTTTTTTCTT